AGAATTCCTCATTTATGTATCAGAATACCTCACTAGATTCATATATTAAACTAGTAAATTAAAGTAATACTTTAAGCACTATATGTGACTACAACATCTCTCAATTCTTTTTGCAACAAGTTTTCTGGGTAGGAAAAGCATATTACATTGCATTTTCAAGTGAATAAAAAGCCTTCCTATGTCCTTAACTTCACATTCAAGATCCTGCCTCAACCCAGAGTCTAGACACTCTGATTGGCCTGGTAGCTCAGTTAAAGTGTCCTCCCAATGTGCCAAAGTTGCAGGGTTGATATCCAGTCAGGGCACATAAGAATCAACCAATAAATGCATAAATCAGTGGAACAACAAATCAATATATGTTTGTTTTCTCTCTCCCCCCTCCCTTCCTCTCTCTAAAATCAATACATTTTTTAAAATTTTAAAAATTGAGAACTTCAAAGAACTTTAAAAAAAAATGACACTCTCAATCAAAGAAACAAATAACTGCCATTATGCCCCAGAAAATATTAACACAACATCCCAAAATTAGCACTAACTATGGGGGGGGGGGGGGTGAAGGGGGTGGAAATCTAACATGGCCTCAGTAATAAAGTAAATATCATATGACATTTTCATGGGCTAAAAGTAAAGAACTTACAGAGCTCATGATAACACACCATGCATTAATGTTAAGGCAATATTTTAAAAATGAAATGGCATCTCTTATTTTGTATTATTCCAGAACAAATTGATAAATATTATGCAAAGAAAATTTCTTTTTAAGTACCCACATCTCTGTGCATAATAATGTTAAAAACTGTGTTCTACAGCAGGATTCAATTCTCACCTCCTCTAGTTATATATCTTTAAACCAGATAATAAACAGTGTTTGAAATAAAATAATTTTTAAATTACATTGAAAGTAGCATTGGCAAAAATGCCTAAGGAAGCTGCACAACAGAAAACATATTGAGTAAATCTCAAACTAATGCAATATAATCCTCCCTTTTGCATAAAGTGTCTGATCATGAAAAAAAAGACATTAAAATAAATTTGTCTGTTTGCATAAGAAAACTGTTTCCTGTTTACATAAAGAAATCAACTTCTAGTAAAGAAAAATTGTCACTGGAGTCAAAACCACAACTTCATAAATATTTTGAGTTAAATTGTTTCAATTAAAGAAATACCGAACAATGCTTATAGTTTTGTTTGAAAATTGTTCTTTTACTAAATGCAAAAAAAAAAAAAAGGTGACATGGATTTCCTACAATGGTAAATGTAAGTTTGATGCATAATTCTCTACCATCAAAACAGAGCACTGAAGAGTAGTCGCTAAGTTTCTATTCAATGAAATGGCATCAGAGGCTGTGAAAGCTGACCGACCTCTCTCACTATTCTATGCTCTACCCATCATCACAGTACTATAATAATAGGCTTACATTTGCACCCCCCCCCCCACACACACACACACAATGAACATGTTTATGAACCACTTACAAATGGTGTAAACGTTCTCTTTCTACCTCCTCAGCGGTAATGGGTCGTCTGGCCTGCACCGGCTTCCTCCTGAGAAGTGCGCTCGGGGCGCGGGCTGGAGGGGTCTCGGGCGGGGGCCGAGGGCGGGGGGTTCCAGGCCAGAGTGAAGCGCACGCAGATGGATTTCTGTGCTTACACTCCTCTGCCTTAGAAGCAGACTCACATTTACAAGGTCCCTGGAGAGAAAGATTCAGTCCTGTCATCCCGCACGCCCACCGAAACCGGGGTGCGTGCACACCCTCCAGCCCCTCCAGCAACTGCGACCGAAGCTCCGGCGTCTGGGAGCGCCTTCCCCGCGTCCCAGGCTGTCACTCCTTCCCCGGCCGCTGCCCTGCCCCAGGGCCCCCGCCGCTGCCCCTTCCCCCCATCGGGCCGCTGGCCCCTCTGAGGGCCGCCATCTCGCAGGGGTCCGCGGGCGAGGGCTGCGCTGCCAGCCGGGCCGGCGGGAGGGACACCTACCTCCCCGCCACCTGGGACCTCCGCCGCCGCCCGGGAGCCCGCGGGCCCGGCCCGGGGGCACAGGAGCGCGCTGGGGCCGCCGCACCGGGGCGAGGTCCGGGCCGGACCGGGTCCCCTCCCCGCGCACGCGGACCGCGTCCAGGGACCGCCCTTGTAGCCCGGCAACCGCCGCCCCGGCCCGCCCTCCGCGCCCCGCACCGCCCCCGGCCCGCCCCGGGCTCGCCCCGCGCCCCTCGCAGCCTCCCTTCCAGCCCAGCTCGCCGGCCGGCCGGGCCCGCGGTCCTGGGCTGGGGGAGCCGGTGAGTGCGGCCTCGGGCGCGGATGGGGCGGAGTAGGGGCTGGGAGAGACGCCAAGACCACCGAGAGCTTCACTGTTAGACGAACTGCCCTGGCGAAGGGAAGGAGCCTGCACGTGTTTCCCAGGACCTTTGTGCTTTTCCTTGCGGGTCTCATTCTACCCAAGCCCGCTTCGCTTAGGCACTGGAAAACGGTGTGATACATTTGCTCTGGTCTATCAAGAGCACGATGGCCTAGCTCACCAACAGCAGCCTCATTCATTCATTGATGGATTTTTCCAGCAGATGTTCACTCAACACCCTTTCAGGGTTTTTGTGCCAGTTAACTGTGTCCACGCCAAGACCAGCTCAGTCCAACTCTCAGGATCACCAAAGACACTCAGAGCCACTGGGGAAGTAGGGAAGCACAGAGCCTGGCCTCCGTGTCTGCATTAGTGCTTTGTATAAGGTTTTGACACTTCTGAACTTAATTTGATAACATATGAAGCAGAGGGTACCCACTTTGCAGATTTGTTGGAAGGAGTGAAAAAATTATGTATGTAATAAAAGTACTTTTGCAGCAGTAGAAAGCTATAGATATATAAGTAATTATTGTTTTATCTGTCCAGTAAGTGAATAAATAAACTAATACTTTCAAACCCAAGATACTGGGGATGACTTATGTGTTGGTTTTGTTTTTTCCATACAACCGCAAGTCTTTTTGGATGAAGCCAAGTCTATGTTTTATATGCCACAAGACCCATACAGGTCTCTCAATAAATATTTGTTGAATGAATGAATGTTATTAGACTTAATTAATGATAACCACAATTCTTGATCCATACTGAGAATACTGTAGTGCTGTACCAGTTACTCGTGAAAAATACATTAAAATATTATCATCCCAATTATTATACATCAAGATTGTCTTCTTCAAACTTTAACTTGGTCAGAATAGAAATCAAATAATGACTTATTTGTAAATGATTTACAAATGATATACATTAGCTTATTTGAACCTCAAAGCAAGTACACATTTCTCTGCCCTCGTAGCTGTTACCTAGTACTACTAAAGATTCAGTGTCTTGCACTAAGATGCTCCTTATTATACTGAAGTTATCTGTTGTCTGGGTTCCTCTCTCCAACTAGACTTCAATCTCTTGAGGACAAATCTTTTCTTAATATCTCAGAGCCTAGCTAGCATGTAGGATACTGAGTAATTTGCTAGGCTGAATTACCACATCTTCCTTCATAAGGACTCAGGCATTCACCCCTTCTTCCTCTTTTTCTCTTGGTCTCACCACTTCCACCAAGGTACAGGCCCTCCCCACCTTTCACTTGAATATTGCCCCTACAGGGTTTGAATATTGTTAGACCTTTCTCCTTGCTGTTTTGTCCAGTGGACTTATTTCAACCTCCCTGCCATTACTCTCACTATCCAGTAAAATTATTAACATTCCTTATTATAAAGAGTAATCCTTGAATTAGGATTCAGAGATTTCCAGGTTTTCATATTTTTCCACCCATATTTTCAGCCTTACTTCTCTTCTCTAGACTTATATTCTTTACTAGAGGCCTGATGCACAAAATTTATGCAAGGGACTGGGCCCTCACAGCCCCAGCTTCATCTGGAAGATCGTTCATCTGTCTGGTCTAATTAGCATATTATGCTTTATTATTATCACATTATAAATACTAGAGGCCTGGTGTATGAAATTCATGCACTTGGCGGGGGTGGGGGGGGGGCTCTCAGCTCCACCTGCACCGTCTTTCAGTCCGGGACCCCTCAGGGGATGTCTGCCTGTGGGCTTAGGCCTGTTCCAGAACAGGCCTAAGCCAACAGTTAGAAATCCCTCTCACAGTCTGGAACCCCCTACTCCTTATTGCCAACCTGCTCGCTGCTCTTTACCACTGCTGAGAACTTAAACTCCTTCCTCTGCGGTCACAACTGTCACATGCCAGGCGGTCACTCGGAAATATCTTGGCATTGGCCAACTTATGGAATTCTCCCTTCTCTTCTGATTCAGACTCTGGACATTGACTGTGGCATTCTCTTGGTCATTGTTTTTGTTTTCTTTTGTTTTTTCAAAATGTTACAAAGTTTATGTGAATATAACATACAAAGATGCAGCCTCTTTTGTGGGAACAGGGAAGGACCGGGTGGTTAAGAAGGCACACAGAACTGCAGCAAGCACCAGCTGCGGTGAGGGCCAAGGGGGAGAGGAGGTTGGCACTGGGATCCAGGCCCTGGAGCCATTGCTGGGTAAGTAGGAAACCCCTCTGAATGCCACGTTCTGAGGCTGAACTAAATGGTCAAGCTGAGGCAGAGGTGGGTGGCCATATCAACCATCTTTTGCTGTTTACCCTTTCCTACCCCAGCCCTGCTGTAAAACCCCAGAGCCCTGGATTCCAAAGGCCCCATCCAGAGCAGAGGCCATGGAAGGGGGTGAGAGGAAGTGAGTAGGGCAAGTTTGAAAGCTGATATGACTGTGTGCTGAGGGATGGTGGAGACAGTGGTGAGAGGTAGCAGGGGAAGAGCTCTCATACATACCCTTCTGTGAGGGCCACAGGTGAAGGAGGCCAGGGGAGTAGGGTAGGGATGGGGCATCATGGCCCAGCCTCTTAGTCACCCCTGTCTGTCCTCTGCAGCGTACATGGAGGAAAGGGGCTGCCTCTGAGGAGGGGCCAGGCCAGACCAGGTGACCATCTTGAGTTCTAGCTGAGGTGATGATCCTCACCCTGAGATGCTGTCTAACTGGTGATGGCAGAGGACCCAGTGCCTCCTCGCTTCTCAAAGAACTTGTAGTCAATGAGGAATGTGGCTCTCAGCAGTACAGCCTTCACTCTCATGTCCAGATCCAGCGGGAACCGCAAGCCAATGTCATCTGCATCCGGGAGGGCTCTTGGAAGCCTCCCCCGTGCCCACCCTGCCCACTGCTTGCTGGTGTGGCCCACACTGAGAGACTCATCCAGAGTCTTCACCTCAAAGTTGGTGTCTGTGCCACAGCCACAGGTCCAGCAGGGCCCCACCACTCGCAGGATCCTATGGCGATCGGCATCTTGAATGGAGAACTTGGGGAGGAAGGGATGCCAGGTCTGCAGCACATGGTCAATGGTGGTGCTGGTGGCAACTGTACTTTCATCTCTCGGTCCCCAGAGTCCACCAGGTGGACACGAAGGGGCCGGCCATCCTGCAGCACAGATGTGCACAGCAGTTGCTCTCTTCAGCCGCCTGACCCAGAACTGTCCAGCCCCTGAGGGCAGTTCATGCCGGTTACTTGTCTCCCAGCCGAGGAGCATTTCCACTCAAGCAGCCTTCTGGCGAATCAGGATCTGATCAATCAGCACCAAGAATGCGAGGCCAGAAGGCCCCCTGGACAATGGCAAGAGGGAGGCAGCAGGCCCCACGAAGGGGAAGAGAGCGAAGCTGGGCGCAGGGGCAGGATGCTGCACCTGCTCCAGGTACCCAGCGGTCACAGGGTAGGGAGGAGGGGGCGAAGGGGTGCAGCTTGTGGGGGGCAAGTATCCTGCCATAGGAAAGGAACGAGGGCTCGCAGGTTGTTGCTATACCAAAGCTTAGTTCTAGAAGTGGAGGCAAGGTTGGGGACAGCCTGACAGACACAGAGACAGACACAAAGACAAACAGGCATATGTGGAGAGGTGGCTGCACCAGGCACCCACCCAGAGGCTCTCAAGTGGTGCCTCTGACTCGGGGAGAAACCAAGTGTCAGCAGGCGGGGCAGACTACCTGGAACCCTGGATTCCCTCTGGAGTTTGCAGAACTGCCCCCTCCTTTTTTCTCCCCTTCTCCACAGAGGCAGCTGTTGGCAGATGGCAGGACGGATGGATTCACAATCAGACTGATGGCCCCACCTCCAGGGAGGTTTCCTGACCCCTCTGCATCTCCTGATCACCTGAAGCCCTAAAATAGTCAGGGTACCCAGCGCTCAGAGGCTCCTGAGAGCTCGTGGAGGCAGGCCCTTGGTCATCAGTTTTTATTTTTTTTACTACATTTCTTCCCTGTGCAGTGATCACACTTCATCTGGAGTAGGGCAGGCTTGAGTGCCCGGAGGAAGCATGGGGAGAGCAGTCATTGCTGGTCACCCCGGCACTGCTGGCAATGGCCTTTCTTCTTTGTGGAGTGTCTAGGGAGGGGAAGCAGCCTCAGTGTCTGAGGCTGAGTACCAGGAGGCTAGCAGCACTGTTGGGATTGTGCCAGTAGCACCGGTCCATTGGTGCCTGGCCTGTCCTCTTGAGATTGAACCTGCAGGACTACTAAGGAAGTCAATCCCCACTTCCGTCCTACCTCGACCACCGATTGATTGGCGTCTGAGGGCCTGGAAGAGGGACCAAGAGGTCTGCCTTCCAGCAGCTCGCCAGTCACCGCTTGTCAGTCACCACTGCCACCAATTGATCAGCTCCTGCTTCCTCAGTTTTCTAGCCTGGTGTTCAGTCGTCCCTCTGGTCATGGCGGCACCTGGGTTTTTATATATATTAGGATTCTGGCCAAGCTGGTCTGCATGCCTTGACTCAAAGTACCCTGAACTTATCCTTCTCTTTGCTCTCTAAGCTTCCTCTTCATAGCCACCTATTTCCCTCACCTCTCTGATGCCTGACTTTTCTGACTCTTACAACAACTTAAAAGTGACAACTCCCACCAGTCTCCAAGGTTTGTGGCCATTTTATTAGGATGATAGTACTTGCCGCATTTTCTCATATGTGACTGAGATTTCTTCCTCAAGGAACTAATAGGAGTTCTACTTTCAGAGAAGGGCTATATTTGTTCAAACTTGTTTCTCTGATAGTATCAAACATTCCCATAAATATTCAACAAATGTTATTTTGCCAGCTCAGTAACTACCACTTTGACTTTAGCCAAATGTCCTTTCTTCTATGGTCACCTTTTGTCCTTAGAGCCAATGACACATGATGTAGTTCTTGCATCATTTCCTAGGTATGTGATTGATTTTCCCAGTAAGCTTGTTAGTTCACAGTGGAGAGAGACCCTATTGCGAACATACACAGTCTTTGGCATCAGATTATCTAGCCTTAGATCTTAATTTGCTATTCACTAGTTGCATGCCCTTGAAAAAGTTACTTAACCTCCCTAAATTTCCATTTCTTCAAGTGTAAAATGATTAGTTTCATTGGTGGTTATTAAATAAGATAAGGTATTGAGATCCTGTCACATAGTAAGTGCTCACTCAATGCCTGCCAGTCAATATTAGCAGCAGCATTCCTTTTGTAGGGCAGACAGTGCCTAGCATGAGTATATAAATGATAATAAAAATGATATTTGACAGTGGGGACAAAGATGATTGAACTTCTGTGATCTAGCTATTAAATTGATCATATTCTCTAAAGAAAGTTAATATATACTCCCCACTTTACCTCATTTTGAAAGTATATATGATCTGGAGATAGTATCTGAAGGAGAATCCAGGCCCACAATTAAGCACCAGCAGTGGTACAAAACTGTATGATCCCTGGGCTCATTCAGAATGAAACTGATAGTTGGAATTGGGGTGCAAGCACTTTTCTCCCCTTAAAAGACTAGTATTAATGGGTTGAAATTTTTACTGTAAAAGCCAAATGTTACATAGATCTTGATAGAGGTGCTGTTGCTTTAGGGTTGGTATTTCTGAAGTTAGTTTTAACAATATCTAAGCTAAGCATTATGACTATCCTATATAATAAAAGCCTAATATGCTAAGTGTCTGGTTGTCCAGTCATCATACAATCAATCAAAGCATAATATGCTAATGAAATGCAAAGGTCTCTCAACCGCTAGCTATGACGTGCACCGACCACAAGGTGGCAGGTGCTCCGACAGGTAGGTTAGCTTACTGCTGGGGTCCAACAGATCTCGACTATTGAGAAGGGCCAGATATGCCCTGGAACCCTCCTGCAGTCTCTCCCCGGCTGGCCAACTTCCTGTGTCCTTTCCTGGACCTAATCATACACTGATGGGGGCCCTCGGCCTGGCCTGAACTCTCTCAAAATCCAGGACCCCCTGGGGGATCTTGGAAAGCCAATTTCAACCAATCCCACAGGCCAGGCCAAGGGCCCGAGTTTGTGCACTGGGCCTCTAGTTTAGAATATTTTACCCACAAAAGTTGAACTAATTAAGTAGAAAACTTCTCCTTTTTTAAAAAGTATATTTTATTGATTTTTTTACAGAGAGGAAGGGAGAGGGATAGAGAATTAGAAACATTGATGAGAGAGAAACATTGATCAGCTGCCTCCTGCACACCTTCTAATGGGGATTTGCCCGCAACCAAGGTACATGCCCTTGAACAGAATCGAACCTGGAACTCTTAAGTCTGCAGGCTGATGTTCTAGCCACTAAGCCAAACCAGAAAGAGCTAGAAAACTTTTTGAAAAATATTTTCAGTGATAAGCTAGCTCACTGGAAGAAAAGTTAATGGAAAACAATTTGACTTCCTAGTAATTCCTGGTGTAAATTATTATTCCTGGGGGAAATGGAGTATAATGAAAGCTACATAAAAATTCTGATTTTGGGCCCTAACTGGTTTCGCTCAGTGGATAGAGTGTCAGCCTGTGGACTCAAGGGTTCCAGGTCCGATTCCAATCAAGGGCATGTACCTTGGTTGTGGGCACATACCCAGTAGGGAGTGTGCAGGAGGCAGCTGATAGATGTTTCTCTCTCATAGATGTTTCTAACTCGCTTTTCTCTTCCTTCTTCTCTATAAAAAAAACAAACAATAAAATATACTTTTTTTAAATTCTGAATTTTGTATCTTAGGTCATAGTGACTGTACCTAGTAGGTACTCAACAATTTGTTGAATGAATTAATGAATGGGGTAGGAATCTCAAAGTATAACAAAATTTGCCAAATATAGTTAAAGGCCCTGGTAATCAGGACACCTACCTTCCTTGTCACCTAAGAGGCTCCACCCACCACGCTCCACAGTGAGTCCTGCAGGCCGCGGCTGGAGTGGAGGCACAGAGATACACTGGCAGTTAATTAGAACTTTGTCCCAATATGCCAAAATTTTGGTTCAATCACTGGTCAGGGCACATATAAGAATCAATCAATGAATGATAACTAAGTGGAACAACAAATTGATATTTCTCTTAGCCTTCCCCCCACTCTCTTTCTCTAAACTCAATCAATAAATTTTTAAAAATCAAATATAGTTAAGAAAATAAGGAAAAAAATAACCAAGACTCAAGATTTAAATAATTCCCAATACCTCCCTTGCTGCCAATTATAAACTATCAGTGCAGGGTTGGAACCAAATGTTGAGTGACTTGCTCAAGATCATACACCAAGTTAATAATAAAGCTAAAATAAAAATCCAGGCTCCCTGAATCCTAATATAATCTTCACTATGCTGTTATTGCATAAAACAATACACATAAAGAGGCCAGGGAGGCAATTTATTTAGTTTTTCTAATGTTAAACTCATGACTTTTACAGAACAAAGTTGTAAGTTGTAGCAATTGCACTGACTTTGTAAGTTTATGACACCTCTGTTGGCCAGACTCTTTTCATATGTTTAATGAGAGAAAAAATGGGTCACTGACTGTCCGCTTCTCCTTTGGATAAATATGATTAAGTCCTCTGCATATGGCTGAATAAAACCAGGCTCACTGGGCAGCAGCCCACGAGGCGAGGACATGAGGCTACCAAAGTATTAGAGACATTTAACAGGATGAAGAAAGCTGTACTTATCATAACTCATCTCAGAGAGAGGGTAGTTTATGTTGGAATAATGTTTGATAATTTGTTCAACATCCCCACCTAACCCTTCACACCAAAGAGCAAAGTAAAATCAAAGTGAATGGTGTTAAAGAACTTCTCAATCTAAAGATGTGAAACTTGGTAACTTCTGAGTGGTGATTTCAGCAAGTGAGTAGATTTGGAGATAAAGCTGAATGACTTTTGACAGTAGAAGATAAATTAAGCACAGCCACAAGGGAGTCTTTTTTTGCTCTCCTTTCATTGCCCATTCTTCTAAATTGGGCTGACAAATTTTTAAGAATTATTCTTTAAAGGGGCATCAAATTATTAATTTTTCCAGGATGCCTTGGACTGGCCCAGCAATCAAAGGAGCGTCTGACCAAACCAAATGTGGATGCTTGGTCCAGTTGTGAGGCAGAGAAACAATAGATTATATCTTGAAGTTATTTATAGCTGAAAATCCTAGGTCAACTGATGTAAAACTCTATCAAAAGCTTCTAATAGTTCTCATAAAATATATCAAAAGAAAGAAAAAAACACAGAACCCATTTTTAGCCAAAATTTTGGCTACAATGTTTGCTAACAATTAAA